AACACAGACGAACTTTAACATAATAGGTGATGAACATCTTCTTGAAATCAAAGGCATGTAGCATGGTGGCAGCACTGTTGTCGGACACACTGTAGCCCTCCAACACATACATTCCAGCTATTACCTTTGTGTTGTTGATGGTGGTGATGGTGGTAGTAGTTTTGATGATGGTTTTGCGGTGGTGTGTGTTGTGTTCATGTTTGCGTATCATTAAAATGTATTAAAATTATCATGAGCAAATATACGCGCGAGGAAACAATGAAAATGACGACAAAAAATTATGCTAATGATCATGAAAAATGTGATGCCGATGATAAAAAAAGATGATGAAGAGGAAGATGATGGAAATGATGATAAAATAGATGATGAGGAAGATGACCAACCTGCCAAGCCAGCCACCTCTGACCAAATGAAGCGTTGACGGACAGGAAATGTGGAAGGTGGCCAGGTTTGCAGCAGCAGAAACCTGGCAGTTCATCAGTGTCATCATCATTCAATCATCAAGAATATATCACCATAGTCACTATCACCTGCATCACCGCCATCTTCATTGTTGTCATTATCACAATTAACGACTCTTAAATAACTGGCTTGATCATCTTATCCGCCCGTCACATAAAAATTTTCCACCACCATCGTCGTTTGCTATCATTATCACCATCAACGCTCGATCTACATCATCATAACAATCATCATCCCATCTTTCCAATTTTCATCACCACCCCATCACCACCCCATCACCTGCGTTACTTCCAACATCTTCCGATATCGCCTCCACCTCACGCTGCTGGCAGTAGGTTCCTGTCATCATCATCGTCATCATCATCATCATCATCACCATCATCATCACCATCAGCGTTGTTATCATCAACGTCACAGTTGGATGGTTAGCTGAGAAGGTAGGGTTAGTTGCGTGGTTGTTGAGCGCTGACTGGGTTCGAATGCTCTCTACTTCAGACCGGCACACGTCGTGTGCGTGCGTGCGTGCAGTGTGGATGTCGCTGCATCACTTCAACTGCAGATAAGTAAGGAAAGGGGTGACATGTCGGCAGATTGACGTTTGACAGAGCAGCATAATATTGTAAAAAAGCATAAGCATCAACCTCTGAACTCCAATCCACGAAGTTGAAAGGTCAGAAATCCATTGCCCTTCTCTACAACATGGACTAGAGCATTGAGGTAGTCAGACGCCATGACGTAACAATCTCCCTGCCGCACCTCACCCCACCTGCCGAGGGCCACGTCCCCCGCCAGGGAGCGCTGCAGGGAGCGTGTGAGGTGCTCGTAGAAGATGGAGTTCAGGTTGTCGTCGTCAGATTTCACACCTGCAGCGTCGATTTGAAGTGCCAGCCGCGTGTTCGTGTTGTCCAGGCGTTTCGTGCTGTCGTTCATTGGTTGGATGGTGGGTGATTGCACGATGGATGGTGAGGGGATGGTGGCTGGTCAGTCAATTGGGTGGTGGTTAGTGGGATGGAAAAAATGACTAGGTAATGAATGTATTTCAAAGATTAACCCCAACCCCAACAACAATTATAACAACAATAACAACAAATCCAGAATAACAACAACAACAACTCTACAATAACCACCAAAAACCACTACACCAACTTGTAATCTTTCTCCCAGAACTTGATTGGTCTGGGGTATGAGATGAGGAAGATGGTGCTGCCAAAAAATGGACTGACAGGAGAGGAGGTGATGGATGAAAGAAGGGTTTGTAAGAACATCAGACCCGAGTCTGTGTGTATGCGTGTGTGTGTGGTGTGTGTTGGTGTGCGTGTGTGTGGTGTTGAGTAGAAATTTTACTTTATAACGCCACTGATGATAATGATAATCTAATTAGGCTGACTGGCGGTGGGAATAAATAGAAATGAGGTAATAAGAATGATAGAACGACGGAAGAAAGAATGATGATTGATAGAGAGAAAAACGAACGAGGTATGGAAAAGGGTTGTGCGAATGCATGGAAAGCGGAACCCCAAGTGATCTGCCAGGGTGCTATGTACGTCATTATGAACTTCAACTTCATCATCAGCTCCCGTATCTGAGAGGAAATGTGTGAGTGGAAGGATGAATGGATGAATGGATAGATGAGTGAATGAATGAGTGTGTGAGTGAGTGAGTGAATGAGTGAAAAGTAATAATGATCAAGCGAGAGTTTTCCGAAATGAGTAAAAATGAATGAATGAACTAATATTATGGTATCTGACAATTTTGATGTGTGTATGTATATGAGAGAAAAAGAAAAAAAGGAAAAAAGAAAAAAAAAAGAGAGAAAGAAAGAGAGAGAGAAAAAAAGAAAAGGAGAAATAGATGAGTAAGAGTAACAACAGTGATAAGAATTTGATGTACGATGAATGTATGAATGATTAAATGAATGAAAAAAAAATGAAAGACTGAATGCACGATTAAGCAAACAATTGATGATCATTAACTGCTGAAAATTCAACGACGAAAAAAATTTTCATCATCGCCATCATCATCGACGTCGTCATTATCATCATCATCATCATCATCATCATCGCCATCAAATCATCATCACCATTACTTTGTAAAGAAGAATCGAGACCACAAAATAATCGACGAGGAATGTTCGAGAATAGTGAGCGTAATCATAGCTGAAGAGTAGCTTGGTGATGAATATGGTGTAGAACTGGGATGAGGCGTGGTTGAATGACGATCGGAACATCTTTAGACCACACACGCTGATGACCAAGCTGTTCAAACTGCACGCCGGTGATGGCGGTGATGGTGGTGAAGGGTTAGGGGTGAAGGGTTAGGGGTGAAGGGTGGTGACGGTGATGATGATGGTGGTGGTGAATTTAAAAACGACGATGATCAAGAAGAATAAGTGACAATTAGGAAGGTGTCAGTTGGTGAGGAATTATTATTACTACAAAGGTGACGAAAGGACAGCTCATAAAATTTGAAAAAAAAAATAAAACTAAAAAATATTGATTGACAAATATTGAGAGTAACTAACAAAATATTGACACCAGCACCACCACTATCACCACCAGCATCCACCATGGAGCAGACGGAAATGTTGAGGGCGTTGAGCAGGGTGGCGGGCAGGAAGATGTTCCTCTCCACGAAACACATCCACAGGTAGAACTTCTCGTACGGCATGACGCGTGAGGGTCCTGACCAATTAGGTATCATTTCAAAAAACATTAACCAATGGCGACAGAGAAATAACCATGCAACTAGCTGACCAATCCATCCATTCATCCATCTGTCCATCGATCAATCCATCCAACCAACCAAGATAGACTAACCTTTAACCTCAAATAAATTTCTCTCCGGGGACTTGAGTATGGGATGTGAGAGGCACATCCAGGGAGTCTCCAGCCTCAGTTGGGGGAGGATGTAGTGCAAGATGAAGCCGATGACGGAGGTGGTGTAGATGAGAAGGTCGAGCAAAAAAGGCTGCAGGGAGATGAATGGTGGTCGGTGTGATGTTCTTAACTGGAAACAAAACGCCATAGAAGGATGGCGAAGATAACGAAATACATGCACACGCACGCACGCCAATCAAAGTCAAAACGACACAACCTCATACTCAGGAGAACGAATTCTCCAACAATTTCCTCTATAAAAATATCCATTGTGATACTGATACCTCCCAAACATCCATACAAATTCACCCCACACATCCACATGCTGAACTCCCAGCCAGCCAGCCAGACAGACAGACAGTCAGACAGACAAAGGAGCCACCTACCTGCAGAGCGGGACTCGTGAAGGCAGTACTCTTGGTGACAGCGAAGACGATGATGGCCGTGAAGAGGCAGGTGATGATGTCCGAGTACAGTCTGTCGGACTGTTGTGAAGTGGGAGCATGAGTGGTAGGTTGATGAAGGGAAAGATGAATGGATGAGAAAATGAAAGAATGAATAGACAAATTGATGACGGATAAACAAAACAGATGAACGGATGGATGGACGGATGAAGAAAAATGAAAGAATGAATGGATAGAATGACAAAAGATAAACCAAATAGAAAAGCGTAGAAATGAGCAAAATAGATAAATAAATAAGCAGTATACTAATATTTAAAGAATTTATTCATTTATCAAAAAAAATCATGATTTTCAATATTTCAACAAATTGTTCATTAACTTTTTATTATTTTATTATTAAATATCTATTCATCCATCTATTCATCCATCTATTCATTTATCCATTCATCCATTCAATAATTCATTTATTAATTCATGCATTCATTCCTCCATCCATTCATTCATTAATCCATTCATTCATTCCTACATCCATCCATCCACCCATCGAACCCACCACTGATTTTTCCAATTGTTGAGTGAGCGGATCCGTCGAGGCTGACTTGTCGCTACCTCCACTGCCACCGACACCGCTACTACTACCACCATCACTTCCTCTACTCCTCCCACCACCACCCACCTCATCTTCTTCATCATCATCAACGCTACCAGTCCTCTTCTTCTTCCGTTTGAAAAGGCTTTTGGCTAATCGGCTGTTTTTATATTATTGGTTATTACATTATTACCATTTTTCACCATTGTTACTATTGGTAACCATCATCACTATAACCCAAATCCATCCATCCAATCATTCAACCAACCATCTATCCAGCCAATCATTCATTCGTCTATCCATCCATTCAATCAATTATTCAACCAACCATCTATCCAACTATACAGTGAATCATTCATTCATCTATCCATCCATCTAATCAATTATTCAACCAACCATCTATCTAACTATCCAGCCAATCATTCATTCATCTATCCATCTATCTATCTATTCGTCCAATGGAAAAACGTACGAGTTAGATAGAAAAGAGACACAAGTGAAAAATGGAAGATTTTGAAAAAAATTGAATTTAAATTATTTATTCGTAATTTAATTAATTTATTAATTTATTCATAAAATGGGACCAAAAAACGAGTTTTAAATAGATCAATCGCCAGCTTAGGATAAAAACTCAAAACAAATAACAAGGATAAAAAACAACAGACGAAAAATTTGTACAACAAATGTACGAACAATGCTAATTATAACAAAAAGACGAACAAACGAACAAGCAAACAAAGAAGCAAACAAGAAAACAAACAAACGATGTACGTTGAAATGATGATAGAACCGGAATAAAAATAGGAAGTCGGTTCCGTAGTCTCAGAAGATGCAGCACAGATAACAACGTCATCATCACTATCACATCATCACCATCACATCGTTACCATCACCGTCCACATCATTGCCAACACCATCACCACTACAACCCCCACCAACTAACAACATGACGATGGGGTTGTTGGTGTATCTGCTGAGGTGGTAGGCGATGGAGACGAGCACTCCACAAAAGATGGAAAACAAGAGGTGCTGCACGGTGTTCGGCTCAAATAACTCATTCGTTGATTCCTTCAAGTATGTGATTGGTTGGTTGATTGATTGGTTGATTGGTTGGTTGACTGATTGATTGATTGGTTAAGTGATTGATTGATTGGTTAGTTGATTGGACTATTTCTTCAGTTTATTAAATAAATAACTTATCGTTTAACTAGTAAACCAATGGTTAAGACGGTCAACAATACAAAAAAATAAAATTAACACCTAGGCAATTTATCAATCTATCCATCAACCAACTAACCAACCAACCAACCAACCAGCCAGGCAGAAAGCTAGCCATAGCCAACCAACCAACCAACTAACCCATAAAGAGCCGAGACAAAAAGCATAGAGGATTGATAGGCAGATGATGTTTCTCGTCATACTGAAGAATGCTCCCGTGAGGCTGGTCAGAGCTGTGTGGTTGAAATGATTGGTTGGTTGATTGTTTGATTGATCACCATATTGGCTGGTTGATTAAAATGATTGGTTGATTAAAATGATTGGTTGGTTCATTGGTTGAGCGATTGATTAAAAGATTAAGTGATCATAAGTTAGGCAGGCAAATTATTTTCAAACCTTTAAATTCAAAAAAACAATTTTTTAAAAATTTTTATGAAGCAACGAAAAACCTATTTTGATGTCACTAAAAATTCCATCTAAATAAAAACAAACATTCAATATGAAATTCAACAGATGAAACAAAACTGAAAAAATAAACTCGTTAAAGGCAAACCATGTAAAACCAAATAAGTGACGTCTATCAATCAACCAAACATTCAATCAATCAACCATCCAACCATCCATCCATTCATCTGATCAACCGTTCATTCAATCATTCAATCAGTTAACCATCCAATCAATGAGCCATCGGAATCCAACTAACCAGTTCCCCCGAAGATATGTATCTCCACTTGTTCGAAGATGTAGAGGAGGAAGGTGTTGATCTGGGGAAGAAGGCCAAATACGAAGATGAGGGGCAGGCAGATGGTAAGGTCTGTGGATAGATGGGTGGATAGATGAATGGATGGATGGATGGATGGATAAATGGATGGATGATGAATCAATAAAAATTTCTCTAAAGGAAAAAAAATTGAATGAGTAGATGGAAATTTTTTTTAATAAAAAGCAAACAAACATTGCTAAAACAAAAAAGCATAAAAAATAAACGATAACTTACACCAGAAGAGCTCGAATAGAGAAGACAGGGCGCCAAATATGTTCACCCTCAACCCGTAAAAAACTACCTCTCCGTAATCATCCCCACCACCACCACCACTTGTATCACCACCCCCACCAACACCAGCAGAGTACTCGTCATGACGACGATGAAGAACATGGTGATGATGTTGGTTGATGAAGGAGGGAGATAGTGATGAAAGGGAGTGTAGAATGATGAGAGATGTGGAGCAGAGGACGAAGTATATGGGACGACTGAAGGCGATTATGTGGTTGTGGCCCTGGTGTGGTAGCGATAATAGTTACTCACTACCGATATTGAGATAATAGAGGTGATATAATATTAGAAATGCAACCATCACCATCATCACAATAATAATGATCATTACCATCATCACATTAATAATGATCATCATCATCATCAACAACAACAACATACGTGCATTGGTGAAGCTGCATCCGGCTGAACACTCTAGAGTTATAAAAATACTTTTATTATTTATTTATTTACTGGTGATATAATCATCATTGTCATTCCCATTATTATTATTCTCATTATTATTATTATTATTTATCATCATCATTTATACGATATTAATCTGTTAAGACGCCACCAGTAACAATCACATCCACAACAACACACAGCAGCCACAAAACTCACAAACTTGATGAACGACATCGCCATCCAAACAACAACAAAAACCACAATCGCAACAACAACGGCTCAGTAACTGCAACGACAACATCAACGACAATAACGCCGCCAACAACAGCAACTACAATGACCATATCAGCAACAACACTGGCAACAACAACAACATTTATATATATATATTTATCTATTTACTAGTATTCAAGGACAGCAGCGATAGACCAGCGACGAACCTTGATGAGTGAGTATTGAGAGCTGGCAACGACAAAGCAGAGGAGGACTTCGAAATCTCTGAAGAGTCCC